GTAGGCGGAGGTTTACCCTGGTGCAGGTGTGCCGCAGCGGTCAGTGGAAGGATACGGCAGTTTCTCTGTGAGTTTCCCATTATGTCATTGCGCACTCGGTGCTTGCTTGGAAGTTTAGGGGGTTTTTTTTGCTGTAAAAAGAAGTTTTCTTCCCATGCAGTGAACAGCGGACACTAATGTTTTTGTCACTTTTTATGGAATCAAACTCAAAATAAGGTCAGTACTTCCACGCTTTAAACGCTGCACGCTCATACTCTCTCCCGCACTCGATATATTATCCATTGTTGATCTGCACAAAGCTGTTGTCACTAACGTTGCACTTGCTTACGTCACTGTCATGAGACATTCTTGCAAAAAATCACGGTTTTAGTAACGCAGTAACGCAGCGTTCCTACGGCAAAGTAACGGTAATCTAATTACCATTTTTGCAATAGTAATCCCTTACTTTACTTGTTACTTGAAAAAAGTAATCGGATTACAGTAACGCGTTACTGCCCATCTCTGGTTACCAGTGCACAAAGCTTTTACTGGATAAGAACTGTCTGTAACAATTTTATTTCTTTATTTTTACAACCTTTTTTATTTTCTTCTGAGCGCTTACTTTATCACTCAGATTAAAAGAACCCCAAAGATAATCTGTGTTCTGGGCTGGTTAATTTAGCCAGGCTACACAATTTTACACTTGAATGCTACATTAAATCAAAACTCCTGCTTGGACAAGCAAAATTCAGTTTGTTTTTCATGTGTGCCTCATACAATACATAAAAAACTGTTAGTGGGGCATTTGAATGTTATATGTCAACTATCTGTAAATTTTAGTAAAACATTATAGTTTCTCTAAATGTATTTAACACCCCCTTCTGTTTCTATTCAGTGGCAGTTGGAAGTCTTGGGCGCAAGTAGCAAATATTTTTAATGACATTATGCCATTACTCGCATTATGTAAATTCTTCAATTATTGTGAATCTTCATTTATTAAAATGCATTTTCTTTCGTTACCATTCAATTTTGGCCCGGCTTTTTTGACTGCCAATTTGTGGTTCCTTTACTCATACCTGGCTGGAATCTATTGTGCTATTTATATCTTAGAATCAAAAAACATTCTTCTAAGTTATCATTTGTTTTTACGGCCACACATTTCAGTTGGGCCTGATCCTTACCATGGAAGTTTGGGGTTGAATCTAGCCCAGGTCCTTCACTGTAAGCAATTAGCGGCATCTTCTCTACATATCCAAAAATAGCAAGCACGAGTCTGATGCATTTATTTTTTTATTTTTATTTTTATTTTTTACATTGAATGTTCTTGTTCTCAGCAAAACTGCTCGAAAGTCTCAGCTTGATGTTGTAGCTATTTCATTTGTTAACAACTTATGACCATTAGTTTTCACTTCCTCATATGACTTTCCATCAGTCATATCAAGATTCAGAATCTGACTTTACTTGGCTGATTATCAACTGGAACAATGTCCCGTGGATGCAGATAATGGAGAATTTAATTAGAAAAATACAATCATCGTGTTTGCCTTGTGCTTTGCTTTAGATAAGATATTTTTTCACTAATATGGTTTTATTAGTTCTCCATTTCCTTAGTTTGTAATGTTAAGCTACTAAGTAATCCAGTGCCAAATACATGATATAAATTTAATTATCAGTCCTGTTTATGTAGCATGCAAGCTAGTACCATGGCTGAGAACTAACTAGGACTAAAGAACACTGATATTTACCAAAAGTTTGTTTGCTTTGTCTTTGAAATTCCTTTTTTCCCTCAGAAATTACCGACAGGATGTGAGAAATTTTGTATATGATTTTGTATATTTAGCCCTGTGAGTTTTTCCTTGACAACTATGTATGTATAGTTTTTTTTTTTCAGATGAAGAAAAAAGGTAAATATTCACATCAACTATGATATCTGTAATAAATACAGAAGTTGAAAACAAGGATCAGACAATACAGAAAAACAACAATAGTTTATTTGAACCATATTTTGTGTATGAACTACAAACTGGTCTCTATAATCGATTTCCGTATCTTTTAAAGGTCATGAAAGAATGCTTACATGAAAATCGATCTCTTATTCTTTTACAACATATTTATCTTTTTTTTTTTTTCACTTTTCGAACAGGTTGTTGGCACATGTAAAATCAAAATTTAAAAATTTTTGTTTTTGTTATATTTTATTCTCAAAATGTATTTTATATAAATCTACCACTAGAACAGCATTCCTTCTCAGAAAAAGAAAAGGATGTGAAAAAAAAGGAATATTGACAAAAATATTTTAGATATCTTACACACATGAGACAGCTTGACTAAAATGCAACAAAGTTACCATTGAAATTTTCAGACAGTTTACCTCCAACTAAAGGCATAAGGGAAAGATGGTTACACTCTCAACATAAACTGAGGAGAATCGTGATCCCCTGCCTGCCAGTATGAACTGAAACAGAGAATGACACACACACCCACCCACACACACACACACACACACGCGCAATATGGTTTACAAATGTGCGAGTCTCCACATAAGGGCAATTATGGGGTGAATCCCGTTCAGTTGTTGAAAAAAAAATTAAGGGGAATCATTCATTAAATCTGGACTAATATTACCCAGTGACCTCATTTTATTTAGGAATCTACAGTATTCCCCACGTCTGCTGTACACAGCATATCAGAACTTCTGATTTCAGAACGTCATTCAGAACGTCTTGGTTATCAAAACACCTTGAAACACTACATGCAATAACCACTTGCATCTCAAATGGTGCTCATCTTAAACCTCCATAATTCCTTATCTGGCAGAGAAAAAAAGCTGTGAAAATAAAATGACTTTAATAGAATTAATATTCTTAAATATACTCTGCATTATAGGGTGTGTGTGTGTGTGTGTGTGTGTGTGTGTGTGTGTGTGTGTGTTTGTGTGAAGTGCTGGAGTGCGTGTGTGTTTTTTTTTTACACTACAGATTATGAATTAATTAAAATATATAATCTGTGCAACTGTAATACATATATCAGGTATCCCAGGTAATAAAAACTCGGTGTGAATCAAGTATAGATCATATTGTTCTGAGGCAAACTAACACTGTATCTCATTTAATCTCCATACTCTATGCATTAAGCTAAGGGGTGCAGCATTTTATTCTTTTTTTCAATTTAAGCTAAAATCTGTATTGGCTGTAAAAGGTTTGCACTTATGTCTGGTTAAAGCCGTTTTGTTAATTTGCCTTTATTCATATTGACACATAACCACTTGAATTAGAGTGAATTATTTTAAAACTTCTGTAAAAACTGGTTTATTTTGCTTGGCTTTGTGGAAGTTTTGAATGAGGCTTGTATAGTATACAAACTTGTATAGTAGACAGTGGGGTTTTTTTTGTTTGATTGTTACCTGTGGTAGCCCATGTGTTTGTGAAACAGGTGGTGTAACGTGCGGACCTATAGACATTGCTGCTTGTTATCTTGACAGGAAAACTGTGTTTTTTGCTATATTTTCTGTAAAATATGTAAATGATTTTGAAGAAAAGCCCACAGAAAATCTTTCACTTCTTAAATCATTATTCTGAATAGCTTTCAGAACTTAAAACACCTATTGCCACCATTCATCTAAAAGTGACCACAGCAGTGGACTGTTTTCATATTTTTTTTCCAGACATGTTTTGAACTAATAGAGGACAAATGTTTCAAATTCTCAGTGGAGTACCAGCTTTTACTTAAATGATATGCATGGTAAATCCACAGAAAGCACATGACATCATCTGTAATAGAGGCATTCCTTTCTGGATTGCATTACTGCAAGTGTAAAAAACAACAAAACCAAACCCCAAACTGAATTAAGAATTTGAGTGGCCTAACTTTTTTTCCACAAATTTTTCTGTTGAATAAAAACCACAGTCAACTTGCTAAAAATAAACCTGTGCCATCTCAAATGTCTGCATAACCACTGCATTTATGGTGCTTGGCACCATTCATTACATTTGGGACTTTGAAATGCTTTCCAGGGTATGGATGGCAGCAGAGCTGTGCCCATCCAAAGCCCACGGGCACATCAATTAAAATGTAAATTGTGTTGTCACTAACGATGGCGAGAGTCAGGTGCAATCCAAACATCTGGTTGATGCCCGATCCCACACGTTCACCCCATAAGCCTCTTGCAGCTAAGCCTTGCCACTCAGGGACAAGTTCTGTGGTTGGCGGGAGCAGGGTGTGAATCTGGGACTGCCAGGCACTGCCCATGTGGAAATATGGCACAAAGATGACAGGCAATGTGCTCAGACAGCTGTATAAAGGGTTTAAGCTCTTTCTTCCGCTCTTCAGTCTACTTCTGACAGCACTCCTGCAGTACTGCAGATGAGGTAAGGGGTCCCAGCATGAAAATGGGGCTTCAAAGCAATCATCTTCATATGCAACACTACACAGCACTGCAAGGTAAAGGTGAAGCCATGATACACTGGAAATATTCTGAGGCATTGGGTGTTTGCCAGAATTTGAGGTCATGTACATCTGTACAGGCATTATTCCCATCCTCTCCAGTCGTAATTATATTCTTTCTAAAGTACGTGTTAATGCTGCTTCTGTAGCATGACCTTCAGAATTTCAATGGTTCTTAATGCAATTTATTATATGCTTTCTATAATAATGAGATTTGTCAAGACAAATTTGAGATCAGGGATCATTTTAAATTTTACATATACAATAGAAACACAAAGACATATAGATCAACAGTATTTAATTTAACAAAACTGTCCTTCTAGCAGTGAGCCTTAACTTTTACAGTAGCAGAAATGGATGCATTTCCCTCTTTTCAGGTCCTCAGCCTATTGATGACAGCGCAGAGTGCCTAATGTATGTGACAGATAATTAAACGGTGAATAATGATCAGATTCCATCACTGACAGTTCTGTCACTCACTCCAAAATGATGAACAAGTGTTTAATTCATCTCAGTTAGAGATGGTCACAAAAGATTTCATCAATTAATCCACAGCTGAGAAAATCACTAATGTGCTCTAGGATTCTTTGATAAATGGGGAAAATGAGGTTACCGTGTCATCTGATCGAAAATCGGCAGCTATACCAAAAAAAAGAACAATAAAGGAACAATACTTTGTTTCATGTTTTTTGACACATCTTTGAAAAAAGTTGAAAGTATATTAGTAAACCAATTTTGTGATATGCGAGGAAAAAAGAAGAAAAAAACCCACATGAATTAAGTGTTGAAAAAATAATTGCAGAATACAGTTTTCGTGATTTAACCACAACATTTTTTCTTAAATAAATAACTTCTGCTTTGTAAAGACACTTTTTGAAACAGTAGACATACTCTAATTCCCAAAGTCACTGAATTAACATTGCTAGTCGCTGAATTGCCAAACACAAGTCTGTTATTCCGAGCGTCAGCCGCAGTCCTCACAACCAAAGGTCAGTAATGTTCTGTCAATAATGCCTGTAAGTAATTTCATCAGTTTTAAAATGTCTCACAAAAGTATTAGATTTGGGTCTCTTGTACATTGTCTTTTGAGCTGGCCCGGATTAGCAAAGGTTCGTGCGCTGAGCTGTGTATAGAATTGATTGTGGAGGCATGGTTGTATGCAGTCTTATAGGTGTTATAGTGGTTGAGGTGCTCGTGCTCAAGAGGAGGCAGAGTAAGGTGGCCCTCCATGCCTGGGCCTCCTGTTACACAATCCTCGTCCACATTGATGATCTCAATAGTGCGTGTGGGTGCATGGTGATTCTGCTGGTGGTGTTGTTTGCGCATCTTATAGAAGATAATAAGCATGACAGCTGCCATGAGTGTGATTGCAACAAAGCAGCCAATGATGATCTTGGTTGTCTTCATTACCTCATCCAAGCCATTCTGCAATCCCTCACCACCCACCTCTGTGACGGGAATTGTATAAGTCTTCTCTGTGGCACGTGTGGAGAGTGCGGTTCGGACGGTGGTGGTTGTTGTAGAGGTTGGTGAGATAGACTCCCATGTACCAGCAGAGGGTGTGGGGCCAACCTTCTGTTGGACAGTAGTGGTGAAGCCTTCATTATGCGGGGTTTCTATTGTCTCCACTGTCACTGTAGTAAAGTAGCTGAAACTGCTTTCCGTAGAGGAAACATTGAGTGTGGCAGACGCTGTTGTGTTACCTGCAGAATTACTCACCATGCACGTATATGTACCTGTGTCCTGCATGGTAACATTGGTAAAGTTCAGTGTGCCATCATTCAGCACAGAGATTCTGACCTTGTATGCACCGTGTGTCATGATGGAACCATTGGGTGTAATCCAGCTCACTGAGGTTAAAGAGCTGGCTCTGCATTTCAACTCTGCAGCACTTCCCTCTGTTACATTTAGGTCTGTGGGAGGCTCCACAATAACAGGAGCATAACAGTGAAAGTAATTCTGGTCCAGCTCACCAATGTAGCGTCCCTTATGGTGAGGAGGTGAACTGCAGCGGGCACAGCAGCTGGTGTTTGCAGGTACCATCTCCTTAAGCCACCAGCTTAGCCAGAGGATGTCACAGTTACAATTCCAAGGGTTGTGGTGTAAGTGCACCCTCTCCAGGTGATGTAGAGGAGTGAATAGATCATGGGGCAAGAGGGTAAGGTTATTGTGGGCCAGATTGAGTTCCACAAGTGATTGCAGGTCATCAAAAGCATTCCTTTCTATGGCCTGGATCTGGGCATGCATCATCCACAGCTTTTGTAAGTGTATAAGCCCTTTAAATGAACCAGGCCGGATGACAGATAGCTGATTTCCTGACATTTCCAGTTCATCCAGCTTCACTAGGGGAATAAGATTGGGAATTTCCTTCAGATTGCACATTCCCAGATTTAAGTAGCGCAGATTACTCAGCCCTTCAAAGGCCCCATCAGATATGTAGTTGAGCCGTTTGAGCTCCCCAAGGTCGAGCCTTCGTAATGAGGGAACTCTGTTGAAAGCATAGGAGGTAATGCTCTCTATGGGGTTATTCCTTAGCCAAAGCTCTTTTAGTTTGGACAAGTACTCAAAAGCCCCGTTTGGGATGGTGGTGAGGCGGTTATCAAATAGCTCCAAGGTATTGAGGCTGGCCAGTCCATTGAAGGCCCCAAGCTCAATTTTGCGTATGTGGTTTTTGCTCAGCTGTAGAATCTCTAGATGTCTTAGGTGTTTGAAGCTGTCCACTTTTATGACTTGAATAAGATTTTCTTGCAGATTCAGGTAGCGTGTGTTGGTAGAGATGCCATCAGGAACATCCCGCAAGCCTCTGCGGGTGCAGATGACTTTGCTGAACTGGTTACTGCACGAACAGACAGAGGGACACGTCTGAGCGCGAACCAGTCCTGCCACCACCAGCAGCTGGAGGGCCAGGAGCAGAACAAACAAAGGGTCGGACAAGGCCCGGTTCCACCTAGGACCTCGCATCATCTGCTGCTGCTGAGAGGAGGTCATCTTGTTTAACATTCATAATTCATTGACTGGTCTTTCACTCTCTTAAAAGAGGATTTTGGCCCACTGGAATGAAATGAGAAAGAGAAAAGAGAAGACATCCATTAGGTAAGTGTGTGAACAAGTCTAATGCATGCAAAAGTTTATCCCATGCCATTTCGAATTATTAGCACAAGGATAGCCTTAAAAAAGGTATACTGTCTTGTAGCAACCATTAATCACATCCACACACAAACTGGGAACTTATATAGAAATGCGTTTTCAGGCACAATGTCCTTGTATCTCAGTCACATAATCCAAATTCCTGAAAAAACAAATGATTTCTGTGCTGTTTGTTTGCAGAAGAAGGGAACGAGTGAAAAAAAGTGAAAAAAGCAGCCATGAGTGCTGCGTTGTGATTTATATTTCAGTGTGGAGGAGCATAAATAATAATAAGCTCAACACCCACTAGTCCTTCAATTGAGTCAAGATATCTAGAAACCTCTGATTACAACTCACAATTCAGCAAACAAAAGGCATGAAAGCAAGTGAAAAAATATATCTATAGATATATATATACACATATAACGTGTATGTGTACATCGATTTAGAGAACGTGCAATGAGTTCAACACTACAACAGTGGCCTCTCCATTTGGGGTTTTTTTTCTTTATTTTTTTTATAAATCACAAATTAACAGCTCTGTTTAAATTTACAACGTCCTTAAAAAGATTAAGGTTAAGATTTTCTCTTTTCATGTTAACTGGAAAAGCACTGTGAGTTACGGCAGGAACATTAAGCAGCTGAAATGTAGACTAGCAGTGAGGTCAACACTACAACAGTGGCCTCTCTTTATTTGCTTTCTGCTGAATATACACTTTACATTTTTTAATTTTTTTGAATAAACTTTACTCAAGGAACTTGCAGTAGGTTGACTAACCATTGCCTTTTGTATATTCCCAGGGCCCAAGTTGGCTTCTAAATTCTGAGACATTTTACCTTAAACCATTAGACCATTCAAAATATTTTTTCTTACATGTTTTATACAATATGTGTATTCAGCTACTTAATAAGTGAAAGGTCGGTACAGTTAAATGCCACTGATGCTCTGATGTCCTTCATTGTCAATTAATATCTCAGCCAAATGTGTCTGTCACTCAAAAATAAAATAAAAAAACGTTGGTTTTCAATCAATGTATGTGTGTGTTTTAGTGTTAAACATAATCATATCCATTCTGTGGAATAATAAACCCATTGAAAGACACATTGCTGACATATTGATTAATTTCATGTTTAGTATAACATCTCTGGACTTTACCGGCTTATTATTAATAACTACATTGCCGCACTATTGTTCAAAAACTAATTCAAATACAATAATTACAACACTCTTATTATGCTGAGTCATACAACTTTCTCATTGCTTTGCTTATTATACACTTCATTAGTATATGTTTTTTTTTTATTGTCATTTTTTCCTCACTACTATCTAAGTGAAAAACAGGGAACCACTCTGGGCAGGTCGGAAGTGAGTCACAGAGCTAGCACAGATAAAGAGAAACATTTATAGAGCCTCTAATCTACCTGACCTGAATGTTTTTGAATGTGGGAGGAAACTGGAGCATGTTCAGAAAATCAATGTGAACATGAAGAAAAAGATGTAAACTATACTGTTAGATTTTCAACCTCCAGTGAAATGTCAGTGATAAATACTGATCCACTGTGGAATATGTGTTGTTCGGCTATGAATAGCTCAGGAAATGTGAAACATTTTTGTAACGGAACACAATGTCTTTCACACAACAAGGTTTAATCTTTCAACAATAACAGAAAGAGCTCTCTGAGATAAGAGTTATCTTGAGGTGTGTTATATATTAATTAAGTAAAGTATCTTTTATATTTAAAGAAACTAATCACAAATGAACAGCTCTGTTAATTGTCACTGAGTCAACATCAAAATTTAGAAAGAATATTAACAAATTACAGTGTTCAAAAATGTTTTATTCAACACAATTGGTCTATTTAGAAGGAAAAGCACAATTTCCATGTAAAAAAAAAAAAGACCAGAAGATTTTCTCTTGTTGTGTTAATTGGAAAAGCACTGCGAATGAAGACATGCAGTAACATTGCAGTGTTGTTGGGATGCAATATTCATAGTTTCTGTAGGCATACAGTGTGTTCAACACACAGCCTAATCTCCAATAGAAAGCTCTTCACTTAAGAATGGGGAGCCTATTACTGTAACTACTGATTAATTGCTTGATTACTGACTCCATTAATTCTCCAATTGCAAAATTTAAATTCCAAGCAGCCAAAGCCTGGGGGTGGAAAAAGAATTTGTTTTCATACAGGGGGACTGAGCAAATGTGACAGAGATCACACACCAGCCTGAAAATCACATTCCACTGTTGCAGTTTTAATTTGTTCGAAATTAAAACCTTGCACAAAACAACAGGGTTTAGTGCAGCACTTGGTTTAATACAAGATTTATGCTTGGATGTTCTATTGACACTGTAAGAAGAAAATATTAATATATGAAGCTGCATTTTTGTATACACATCTTTATTATACACATCTTTTTAGGTGAAAACAATGTCTTTTCAATGCCATGAATGACCTACTAAAAACATGCTTCAGTTAAGACTTCTGAAAACTTCCTCACTCCCTGTATCTCCACTATTTACTCATCCTCCTTTTCAACAGATCAAACCTTGATAAAAGATAAACAATGAATCAGCAGAACAGAATCCAAACTGTGGCAGTAGAAAAGATCAAGTTGATTTACAGAGCAAAACAATATATCTGCACACTGACAATGAAAGCAGCAAAATTGGATTTACATAGTGCTGTGATGGAATTAGATGAAAAGAGATAAGGAAAATAGGATTAAGAAAAGAAAGCATTTTCAACTTTTGTCCTAACAGATTATGAACTGCCAGCTGTCTCTTTGTCTTGCAGACATACTAAAGCGCGACCCTGCTTAACAGAAGTGGAGACAATTAAACAGCCAGACCTGCAATATTTGTGAATTCATTTCTTGCTTTTTCAGAAACTGTTATGTGGAGTTGTGAATATTTTCTTTTGTGCCCCTGTTGTCCACACAGGCTCTTCTTAGGGCTGCTTCTGCAGTATTTGCTCCAAATTATTGCCTCATCAAGCAGTCAATAATGAAAGATGAAAAAGGTTTTGCAGCATCCACCTGTGGAGTGGTTACTAGACCGCTTATTTCCCACTGGACTTTCACCCCGAGTCTAATGCTTGCTTCCATGCTCTCAGACTGGCACTCCCTCTGCAGTCTACTTGCTCCATTCTAGTTCTGTGCTCGCTTGGAGGAACTGCATCATTGAGCAGAAACCTTTGTCTAAGGCAGACAGTGATGGTACCTCTGTTACAAGTAGTATGAGCAATCATGACATCTGATTTGACAAATGATGCTTGCCATCCATACTCTGACAGTAAAGCAGTCCAGATGTCCAAATAATGTTTGTCTACCTGCCTGTGTGATTCAATTGCACAAAGGCCTACAATGCAGGATCAACAGAGGCTTTGCAGGACCTCCATAACTCCACAAGCACTTTAAATTCAGCCCTCATCAGAGGAATGGCGATACATCAGCCTCTTGGGCCTCTCCATGCCGCTTCATACATTTCTATTTGCGCATGTTTTGGAGTCCTTCCTGACTCAATCAGTTTTAAGTGTGCTAGACAGCCAATGACGTGTTGGGACTTTTATGCACATGCCAAGAGGTATTCCTCTAATCCCATCAAGGATTAGTGATCTGCATGGTGTGTAACATTACTAACATCCCACTCCTCTGCTGTAGAACAGTTTTTTCTATCTATCATCTATTTTCTATCAAGGCAAGAAATGTTAAATGACCAAAATACAGCTTTTCTCACAACCTTATTGCACGTTCTATTCACGGGTCATAACCTGGTGTATGTTACCATACTGTCACAATAGGGCAATGGCCAATGTAAGCTGAGATACCATAGTCGTCAAAATGATGGACATCACTGGAATAAAAAAAGAAAAAAGAAGAAAAAAGCCCCAAAAATCAGGTCAGTGTAATTAAATGATGCTGAGGTGGACTTAATGGGCCTGTTTGGAGCACAAGGGCATAAAGGAAAATCTTCAAGACTAGAACAACCAGTTTTTTGCCATCACTACATATAAGTGTAACAAATTTATTTAATACACAGATAATGAATGGAGTTATGTAATAAATTAACAAATAAAAATGCACAATGTCCTCAAAGATCAGAGAAAAAATATATAAAAATGTTTAAATAAAAATATTTATGGCAAGAGAAAAAGGTATAAAAAATCATGAAATCAATTTTAGATTAACTGCCATCTGTAAAATGGCATATTTTGTTGATTTAAAAAACATGTCTCCAATAGATAGGATGGGACATTAGTAGTGGTAGTGGTAGTTTCCACATGGTCTTAAGTCTAGCCCTTCTTATGACTACTGTAATCCTGAAGTCTGTCATATTTTTACATTATAAATCGGGTAGAAAGGACTGAATTATTTAGTTACACTGCAGGAAATTCAAGTGGGGCTAAAGCCCCCCAAAATAAGTCTGCGACTAGTTGGCACAAGCCACTGAGTTATTTTATTCTGCTTTCTTATTATGGAAAGCGTAATTCCTTTGAAAGGTGGGGAAAATAGAGTGGACTCCTCTGACGCTTTCTACACTCAGTTAATGCTCGAGTGCTTGCTGATTATGAACTTTTCTGTAAAGAGTGACTGACAGAAGCTTTAGCTTTCACATTGCATGGAAGAGAAAAGATGATGAAAGATTGCAGAGTGTGAGACATCTGTGACAGAGGAATGTTGGTATGTATGGTAGAGAAAGAGAGAAAGGAGAAAGTGCAAGAGAGAAAAAGAGAAGGAGGGATTAATGAGATATAAATCAAATCAGGCCACTTCTTGATAATGCCAGCAACAGCTCCAAATATAAATCAGAATCCTTTAAGGACTCCAGTGTGGGAGGGATACCCACCACATGCATCACAAGCCTTCTTTTTCCCTTCTCTCGAGCCAGCACAATAAACCGATTAGATGTCTTTATATTTTCATC